AGTAGAGCAGACAGAGGGTGGAGAGGTTCACCTCAATCCATGCTATGTCTTCATACTTCTAATGTTTGTCATCCCACCACTCTGCTCTTCATACCACACACAACCCCTTTAACTGCCACCTTTGAAGGCCTCTTGAGGAGGCAGCTGTTTCCCTGCAGCAGGCAACCCTTTCTTTATCTGCAGAGTCGAAAGCCTGAGGTGCCATCTGGGCCAGTGGGCTGGCGGACCACATGATTGTTTGGACGAACTGGTTCTGATGGTTGCTGTGCACTCATTCGAACTGGCCTAATGACATGAGCAGAAAGTGAATAAATAATGTGTTCTGCACTAATATTCACCAACATGGTTGCTACCAACTTTAACAAATGTGGAAGGGTGTTTTGTAGTTTTTGCTATAACTAATGTCTTACCTGTCCTGGCATAGATTGTCCTGAGGTGTTTCATCTGAAGAAGCGCTACCCAAAATCCTCCTCCTGGCTTCTGCATACTCAGCCTCCCTCTGGGCCAAAGATTTCATCTGCTGAGAGGGACGTGACGAGGATGCAGCGTTTCCAGTGGTGCCATTATTCGAAGGACGCTTTAAAATTCGAATTTGTGTTGGCGGTGCTGCAGGCAGAGAATCATCCTGGATTACAATAGCAGTTCGCACAGGTGACCCACCCAAACCCAAGCTGAGCTTCCTGCAAAGACAAGAAAGTGTGAGAGGAATAAAATGACCTGGGGGGGGACTTTAAATGTATATACTCAAATAATATATTAAAGATTTTCTATAAAGTTTGTTTACTTACTTTGCCTCCTGATTTATTTTCAGTTTGGCCTCTAGTCTTCTCTCTATTTCCTATAGAGAGAGACATATTTATTAAATTTATACTCCTGTCCAACAAGTTCATTTTCTGACTCACTGACCAGTATAGCAAACATGTTCACAAGTGGCTGAGTGGTTGCTGGAATGTAGAAAAACATACTTTAGAAATATATTATGACACAGTTTTATAATTACAAATCAATAATCCCACACATCAGCACTTAAAAATGTAATTCATTACTTATGTGATACTGTATATATTCATCTATTATGCAGAAGTCAAAATACACACGTAGTGTCACATCTACACAAAGCTGAGCTACATACATACATACATACAAGTAATAACTGAATAATAGTAAAAGTACCTCATGTTTGCCTCATATGCAGAAGTAGGCTAGTAATAATGCATTCATCTGCTAAAGCAAGATATTTTTTTAAATGAGTATATTAGGAGCTTTTTACTAAAAAATTGTATTGATATTGGTGATCATAGCCCTGGTATTTCATGGAATCAAATTAAAACCAAATTATGTGGTATCATCCACCCCTAGTTTAATCTACCAACAGCTGAAAGAAAGATATGTCAGAGTTGTTCCCCTGCAGAAACCCAAACACTCTGTCCTGTCTTATGGTAACGTGGAGTATTGTAATGATTCGCCTCAGTGCTGTATAGCAGACTGTCATTTCCGCAATGGGCGGGGCTAAGCAATGGTGTTATTATAGGCAAAACTCCGTAAGAAAAGAAAGAAAGAAAGAAAGAAAGAAAGAAAGAGTTTTCCTGCTGGATGTCATTCGCATTTTCCACACATTAAAATGATTGTTTAGAAAATAAAAAGACAATTAGCCAGGCTCAGTCCCAGGTCGTTATGGGACAGCGAGGCCTACAGACTCAGCCAGGAAGCCAAGCTCTGATGAGAAAACAAACCTAAATCAAAACTGTATTTGCGTGTTAAAGCACCAGGCACAACCAGTGTGTCACGAATCCTTGCTAGATGACTGTCAAAACCGAGTTAAATTTAGTTAGCACAGCGTGGGCGGTGTGTTTCTCACCCCGCTGTCCGCTGCCTCTTCCCAGCTCTCAGCAACCTCTTCATCCTCCATGTTTAGCAGGACTGCTGGCGGTTTCCTTCTCGGCTTCACCGGCTAACTACATGCCGTCCACGGATAGGGCATTAGACTGTGGTTAACGTTTACACTAGGAAGCTCAGTTTCAGGTATTTTAGTGCTCACATGAAGTCTGAATTAACAGATTCACAAACCTTTCCTTGGCCGCGTGTTAGCCTGTAAGCTTAGTGCTCTCACCTACTGCCTGCCACTTTAAATCTAGCGTCACGTCCACTCCGGTCCGGTAAATCAGCCGGCGCTAAGGTCGTCCACCGCCGCTCAGACAGAAAAACTGTGACCAAACATAGTCTTTTTATATCTCCAAGTATATATAGTAATTAAAACTTGGCCTAAAAATGTCTTCAAACTTTTAACGCTAACCGTTACAACGCAAAAAGGGAAATGACGTGATAACGTTAGTTCAGATAGATACCGTAAATTAATTTATCAGAAGTAGCCTACTCAGTCAGATCCATTACTATAAAAGTACGAGTATGTCTTCATAGTGTAAAAATACTGTTAAAGTTACAAGTAAATGTCCTGCATTCATTCACAATGTGCAAAATGTACAAAAGTTTAAGCATCAAGCCCTAAAAGTCAAAGTAGGCCGCCTACTCATGCAGAACAGCGCATTTCACAGACCTATCATATTATTGAACTGTAAAATAGGCCTACTGAGGCGTCACATTTGATGTTGCATCTGGTAAAGACTGAGCTAATATTAACTTCCTTATATGATTATCTGAATTACCGCTGCATAACTTGAGAATTTCCCACTGGAGATCACAGGTTTTGTGATTAGGCTAGATCATTTTGGGTGGGGTGGCCATGCTGGGGCAGAGACTCAGAGAAGGGTGGCATAGTTGAAAAATATGCAAAACGTGAATTAAACCCCTGGTTCTATGAAATAATAGCCTATACATTATTAAGAATATAATTGTTTATTTTGTGTTAAAAAAGAGACACAGTGTTGTTTTTGATTAACTTTGGGTGCACTCCTTATTTACTCCTGGCTGGCCAAATTTGACCAAATTTAATTTGAAATAATTTCACCAATGTCAATTATAAAGCACCAGAAATATATTAGTTGCATTCAAGGCAACAATTTGTCTTTTTTTTTTCATTTTTCATTGATTAATACTGACAAGCCTCACATTTTGTCTTTGACACCAGGGGTGATCAGTCAGATAATTTGATGTAACCTACAATGAATACAACTTATAACCAGAAGGCACTGAAATTAGTACCAGAAAAGCAAAATGCATAATATAAATGGGCCAAAGGGAGCAACATAACCAAGCAAAATAACCTAATAAAATAAATATAACCATTAACAAATCTTCAAGCCAGTTGTTAGTTTTAACCCTTCACCCTTTCAACTTGATTTTAAAATAAAGCAGTAGAGGCCATGTCACTTAGTTTACATTTATGTAGCTAATGTTAAATTTGAGAATTAAAACATGATTAACTGAAAAATACCTGAGTGTTTCTCTTGGAAATATGTCAAAGAAAACATCTTTAGAACAAAGAGGAAAGTCATAGAAGATATGCCTTTAATTAAAGTTGAGAACATCAGACTAGAAATTCTCAGTACGGATGCAAGACCAAAACAGATGCACAGCTGATTGACTGATAAGCTGTCACTTTCCTTACTGTATAAGAACTGATTTAGCTGGGTAGAATTTATAGATATGTTTAAAAGTGACTTCACTGACTTTATTAGTCAGAATCATTGACAGTCACTGGTTAGTATACATAGAGGGCTAAGCCCATACTTTCCTCCAGAAGACAGTTTCCACAACACCATCCCAATGAAACTACTGCAGGTCCTGTGTCTTGTACAAGACACCAAAAGAAACTTTATGACATTGCACAAGTGTTCACATTGGTAACTGCACCAAAATGGTGGGCTATAACCTAACAGGCTAGAGTCAATCTCAAACAAACAAACAAACAAACATCAACAGCACACCATGACAATATTATATTGTAGAAATCACTTGTCTATTTGAAAGAGAAAAATACCTCAACTGAATGAAGAATGGTGGTGACATGAAGACAGGATTACAGTCAGTCCTAACTTCTACAAATGTTTTTGATCCATTGCTTGGTCCAGGTTTAAATAAACGTTTTTCATGAAGAACATTTTTACCTGTCACAGTAGGAAAGGAAAACACAAGTGTAAATAATAACCATCTACAACATCAATAATAATAATAAGCATTGAGTACTTTTATTTTTGATACTGTAGGCTACATTGTTCTGTATTGCCGGACCTTTAACGGAGTATTTTTACAGTGTAGGCTAATTTGCTTAAAGGGGGGAATATTTTCTTTACCACATTTTCTCTATTTAAAATTGTTTATATTGTAATTCCAGATTTGGCTTGGGCAATGCATCTGCCCGCAGCAGCTGGGGGCGCAGTGTTCGGCATTGAGGACCCACCCTGGTACCACAGACACCGGTCCGCTTCTGCTGGAGCGTCGTTGTGTTGCGGAGGACGCTGTTCACACAGCGGAAGATGGCGACTGTTTGGAGGCTGCAGGGAACCGTCCGGAGCTGATACCAGGAAGGAGCAGAGGAAAGATACACAAAATTGACAACATTTCGGGGAGAAATCCTGACAAAGTATCTGACATTAGAGGAGCTAATTGGAGCACACAGCCTCTGATCAGGTTAGCTAACATTAGCAAAGACGATCAGTAAGATGGGCTAGACTGATGATATAGCTAGCTTGTTAGCTACCAGGGTGCAGTTGAGCCTCTTCCCTATAAGGGTGTTGTGTCATTACGATAATTAAGAAGCTGGGGCTTTTCATGACTTGTTAGTCATTTATAGTTGAGAGAAAACGTGGTATCTATGAGTATTTAGTTAGCTAATGGTTTTTTATGTTAGCTAACGTTAGCTTGGATGCTCATGTTAAGTTAGCTAGCCTCGTTAGCCAATGCTAGCATGTAACGTAGGATTTGTTAAATTCAGTAGGATGCAACGGTATACGCTTTCTATTCGCAAACGCGTTTCGTAACATAAACTATTTTCCATTTTGCCGTATGGCATATCACGGGTTTCATGTATTTGCTCGGGTACCATTAGGTGAAAATTAGCATTAGCAATCCAACATTTCATGTTATTATATGATGGCCTCCGATAGCGGGTTAGATGTAGCTAACGATATAACAGACGTACTGTTTGGTGGGGCCAGCTGCTCAGTCTAAAGAAAGGGCACCATCCGTTTTAAACAGCACATGTAACAATTATGCCTTTTGAACGCTAAATGCCACAAAGGTGTTAGGCTGATTACAACTTTGCAGTGTCATTCGCTTTCTTGGGTAGGACCAAATCGCATATAGTTTTGTTTAACGCTTCATCCCAACTAAATTTGATTTACAGAAATCCTATAAGGAACATATGGGGCACATGTGAAATGAATGACCCTGCTAGCATATATAAAATAAATGACCTATTTTAAAAGCTATTTTAAGGTAACTAGATGTAGCTGAAGGTAACATGCTCCTCATAAATCATTAGTGTCTCCTCATGTCTCAGCAGATAATAATGTCCCACTCCCCTGACAATGAGGATGGATGCTTTGTTGCCATGGATACAGAGGATGAAGGTACAGCGCCTGCCAGGTTAACGGAGGAATTAGTGGGAAAGACAGAGTCCTGCCGACACGAAGGGAACATGGACAGTCATGCCAAAGGAGGGGGGAGAACAATGATGGAGTTGCCAGAGGAAGTTCTTGAATATATTCTCTCCTTCCTCTCACCTTATCAGGAGCACAAGACTGCTGCGCTTGTATGTAAGCAGTGGTATCGCCTCATTAAAGGTATGCCTCTTGCATTTGCATAACCTTGTGTAAAGCTCAGTCAAAAAGTGGGCTGATTGGCTTCACTGTGAGTGTGAGCAGGTATTACAGCAGCAGAGTATACAGTACCTTTAAACACGTGAGAAGGAAAGTTTAAAAAGTAGTGACCCATTCAAGTGTGCTGCTACTTCAACTTTGATCACAAAGTGGAAATGCTTAAATATTTGTGTTCCTGTAACTTATAATATTTTCTCTGAACCAGGTGTTGCTCATCAATGTTACCATGGTTTCTTGAGAGCTGTCCAGGAGGGAAATATCCAGTGGGAAAGTCGCACGTACCCGTATCCAGGCACCCCTATCACTCAGCGCTTCTCGCACAGTCAGTAGATGCTGCTTTACTAATAATATCACAATGAGCTGCACATCATGTATACAGTGTTGAATCAAACCACTTTTTTCCAGTAATCGTATTAAATTGCTCAGGTATATGGTGCCTGCGCTTTTTTGACTCCAGGGTGCACCAGATAAAATGCCTTCTGCCCTATGCAAGTTTACTGTTATATGACAAGAGCAACATGAGATACTTAATCCATTTTGTTATCTAATAGACTCCAGCAACACTTAAAATAGACCGCTGCATAGCTAGTGCTTTCAGAACTGCAGAGCTGTGCTAAGCTTCACAAAACATCCCAATAACTGTAGGAAGAAAACTTGCAAAAAGGCAGGAACACATTGACAGCTATACAATGCATATTTTAATCCCATAAGCTAATGTTTAATTTAAAATAGATCACGTGCTCATATTTTGGAGGCACTACCCACCTATCATTGTATTGTCCAGCTGATGCAAATCATTAATCCCCAGCTTCACATTTTGAAATCTCTCCCCTGCATGTGTACCAAGAAGATTCACTATTTTATTTTTATTTTCATAAAAAGAATGTAGTTGTGTGCATGTTTAGTGTCATGTGATGCTGTAGCAAAATGTAATGACAGAAAAGTTACGTTTCTATCTGTTGATGTAAAATGAGTCAACATTTTAGTTTGTCATAGTTTGAATGTAGTGTCACATGACAGTTTAACATGATTTTTAAGTTGGTGTAGTGGGGAATAGTGGATCATTTAGAATTATGGCAATTTTAAATCTGAGAATGTTTACTGCAGCTGTACTGTAAACAGCCATGTATATAGATTTGGAACGGTTTCATTTCACTGGAAACAATGGACATTGGTTGTGTTTATGGCATTTACACAAAAAGTAATAATGAAAAGATGGAATTAAACACTCACAAATCATTGTTGCAAATTTGTGGCTGAATTTGTTTTTCTTCTTGGGTTGCAGGTGCATGTTATTATGACTCAAATCAGTCCATGTATGTGTTTGGAGGTTGTACTCAGAGTAGTTGTAATGCTGCCTTCAATGATCTATGGAGGCTTGACCTCAACAGCAAGGAGTGGATCCGCCCTTTAGCCTCAGGTATGAGTATGTACTCGCATGCAATTACTGCCAATGGGACAAATAAATGAGAGCTCTTTTTACAATTTGTAGCTCTGGTTAAAAAATAACTTTACCCTGGGCTTATGTAAGTGGAACTGTGGGAAAGTGAACCTCTTTTCTGAATACAGTATTCAGATGTATAACAGCTGCAGTTGAGGACAGTATTGAGGTGCCAATGAAAAAATAAAGTACCAAATAAGATTGTAGTGAAATGATTATGCTGTTGCACTTTTTGCTTTTATTGTGTTAAACTTTAGAGCTTATTGTGCCTTTAATAAAATTTTGTGTTCAGGATTAAGAGAGAGAACTCTTATGTCTGATCTGTAATTAACATCTACTCTCAGACACTTACAGGGCCTCATGGATTTAATGTTCATGTAATGTTTTTTAAACATTTTATCACTTGTATATGAAGTCAAGTGGAAAATGTATTACGTAATCTTAGGGTGTACTCACACTAGGCACAGTTGTCTTGTACTGTGCCTGAGCATGACTGTCATCCCTGCCCACGCCCCCACTGTCCTGAGCCCACACTGCACTTGGATCAGACAGGGCTGGAGCCTGGTTACATCACCACAATGCATCTCGCATAGCAATTGTTCAAATTCAGTGCTTGGGCATGGTTAGTGATCACCCTATGCGCACCATGCCTGAGTCCAACTGACAAACTCTGGGGGTCAAACGTGCTCGGGCGCAGTACAGATCACCTAGTGTGAGTACACCCTTAGTGTGTGCAGTATTTTCCATTTTCACTTAAAGAAGTTAAGTAGCAGTCAACCAGACATTTTTGGTCAATCACAGTTATTCTCCACTAAATTATTTTGGGGTTTATTTGTTGGATTTAAAACTCATACATATACTAATGTTTGTCAAGTAAAAGTTTCAGCCATACTGTATCCTTGCTCTTTTCTTGCATAGGCTCTTATCCATCTCCTAAAGCTGGAGCAACTCTAGTGATGCACAAAGATCTGTTAGTGCTATTTGGAGGGTGGACTCGCCCCAGCCCTTACCCCCTGCACCAACCAGAAAGGTTTTTTGATGAAATTCACACCTACTCTCCTTCAAAGAACTGGTAAGAGACACTAGGAGTTAAACTATGTAGTTGTGAAAAGTCTTGAAACTACATTTTTACCTTTTTTTTCTTTCTTTGTATAGCTCATTTCATCTTTTCTTCTCTCAGGTGGAACTGTATAGTAACAACACATGGGCCTCCACCTATGGCTGGCCACTCTTCATCTGTAATTGGAAACACCATGGTGGTGTTTGGGGGATCATTAGGAGCACGTCAAATGTATGACGAATATTTGTTTATTTATAATAATAATACTTTTAAAATCACTTAAAGCAGAAATCTACAACTTGCTACACTACAGCTAAGATGATGGAGTGTCATGTGTGCAAAGGTGTTTCACCTTTGGTAGTGAAAATGTTATTGACCTTATAGGTGTCAGGTGATTGTGAATATATTACTTACTGAGGTGATGAAGCCCCACAACTCAGATACAGCTACACTTACAGTAAACAGGCAACATGAAAGCTTTATGCCAGCAGAACAGCAGTATCTTCAGTCCTCTGTCAATCAGGCTGCATCTAGGCACAGTACTGATGTGAAAGTCATCTATGTTTGGCAACGCACAGAGCCCAATGCACTATACTGTAGTTAAACATGTAAAATGAAATAAATTACATTTGAAGCTTGAGTTGCTGACATAAGAACAACCAACAGAGTTAGCCATGATAAAAAACATGGCCATTGTCACCTGGACAGGTCTAGTTTCTCAAATCTTATCAACAAGTCTTCTCAAAAGCAAGTAAAAGGCTTAAGACAAGGTAGCTTTTACCACACTTATTTTAATGTAAAACATTACAATTTTCAGCTTTAAAATTTTAGCTTTGTTTTTTGGAGTGTGCAGTGTGTTAGTGAATGAAAACTGCCTCACATCACTGTGGTGTTTGTTGGGTCTGATCAGGAGTAATGAAGTCTGGGTTCTGGATTTGGAGCAGTGGTCATGGTCCAAGCCCCCCATATCTGGCCCAGTACCACACCCACGAGGAGGACAATCACAAGTAAGGACTCATTTACAGAGATGGCTGTGGCTTGGGAGGCAGAGCGGGTCATTTCCTACCCAGAGGGCTGGTGGTTCGATTCCCAGCTTCTCTAGTCCATGTGTTAAAGTGTCCTTGAGCAAGGCACTGAACCCCAAGTTGCCCCTGGTGGCTGTTCCATCTGTGTGAATGTGTGAGTGTGAATGGGCTAATAATGTAAAAGTGCTTTGAGTGTGCATAGATGCACAGAAAAGTGATCCGTCCAAGTTAGATAAATGTTTTTTTTTTTTTTTTTTTTTAAGTAAACAATCTTGTAGTATTATTGTTCATTTCAAGTTTATACATGGTCCTGCCTTGATCTCACAGTTAAGTTCTTTCGATATAGTTTGACATTTTAAGACAGCTTGCATTTCTACATGTAGCTTGCACATGGATGAGGCTGTGCCAGAAACAAACGCTGATTTCTTTTTAAAAATTAAATGACTTTTAAATATTTTCCTATTAGATTGTGATTGATGATCAGACATTGCTCATCTTGGGAGGATGTGGTGGTCCTAATGCAGTAAGTTGCTGTTTTTTTTTTGTTTTTTTTTAAACTTTATTCTACGTGTATGACAATATGTCTGTCTCTTAGCAAAGGTTTCATGTGACTGTGACTACAGTTATGATTTATCACTTTGTTTTGCTTGTTAAAGCTCCTTAAAGATGCCTGGCTCCTTCACATGGATGCATCATCTTGGAGGTGGCAGCAGTTACAGGTAGAAAATGAGGATCATGGAGCCCCAGAGCTTTGGTGCCATCCAGCTTGTAGAGTAAGTATCTGTTTTAACTGCCAGTTTTGTGTGTGTGTGTGTGTGTGTGTGTGTGTGTGTGTGTGTGTGTGTGTGTGTGTAGATTACATTTATCAATGTGTTTCTTCTCTTGTTTACTTACTTGAAGGTGGGCCAGTGTGTGGTGGTGTTCTCACAGGCTCCATCTGGGCGTGCACCCCTCAGCCCAAGTCTTAATTCTCGGCCCTCTCCCATAAGTGCCACACCTGCGCCTCTGGGCCCTGAACCGCCTTCCCTGCGCTCTCAGTCTCCTGTTCGGAGTGGAGCCGCTGGTGTTGTCCTGGGAGCTGTTGAAGAAGCTCCATGTGTAAATGGTCGATGGGGCACGCTGAGACCTCGGCCTTCAGCAAGAGGAAGTGCCAGAGATGGAAGTCCATCCTCATCCCAGCAACCGTCTCCTTCACAAGGCCCAGACAGCCCCCCTCTTCCTCCACTTCCCCCATTATTAAATGGCTCCTCCCCCTCACCTCGTACCAGCCCAGCCCAGGCTGCATCTCCTCCCTCTCGCCCTCACCTGGCTACCTCCACAGACTATGGCTGGGAGTCTCTCCCTTCTGCCGCTTACCACCCCGAGGTGCCCAACATGAACGGTCTGCATACACCTCCTTCAGGCTCCCCTCGCACTCCCCCAGGAGCTGTGTCTCCCGCTGCTTTACGAAGAGGTCTGGAGGCAGTGAAAAACAAATCTTCCTCTTTACCATCTTCATTGTCATCGTCTTCCCTTCACACACAAGGAGCTTCTCCTGGGGGAGGAGCAGTGGGCCCTCCTGGAACACCTCCATCATCATCCTCCAGCCCTCCACAAGCTGCTGGAGCTGATGGACATGCTATTCCACCTATTGCACGGCGTCTCGGCCATCACCCACCACAGAGCCTGAACGTAGGAAAACCTCTGTACCAGTCGCTCAACTGTAAGCCCATGCAGATGTATGTGCTGGATGTGTCCCGGGCCAAATCTTCCGGGGTCGTTTCCTGGAGAGTCTACGGGAACGGGACTCCCGCTGCCGTTACAGGGCCACCAGAGACCAGCCTTCACACAGTGGTACAGGGCAGGGGGGAGCTCATTATTTTTGGGGGCCTCATGGACAAAAAACAGAATGTGAAGTACTACCCTAAAACCAATGCCTTGTACTTTGTACGTGCTAAAAGGTAATGCGGCTCCAGGTGGGATTGGAAAGACGAAATGCTCCACCCTGTGTCCTCACAAGGGTACACACAAGGCCTTTTTCCTACTGGAAGGATTATGGGAAAAGAAGATAATTATTGTTAGATGTTCCACTTCAGAAATTCACTCTTCTCCCTTATGCCTACTGCTAGCATTCAAAATAAACCACTTTAACTAAACTTTGATAAAAGGTGGAATGAGTATCCTGACTGTGTGTGTGAATGTGTGCGTGAGTGCAGTGATTAGAGAGAACAGAACATTTACGCTGTTCCCCAAAAGGCGGTCAGCCAAACAAGCATTTCGGTTTTTCTGTGCCACCCTCCTCAGAACTCTTGGAAGAGAAGAGCTGCAGAAGAACGAACACTGTTGACAGAAACAGTCAATCGCTACCTTGCTTTTTGTATCACTCTTTAAGCCTGCAATGTTTACATTGAAAACAGTGCGAGTGTGTCTGTGTGCGTTGTGTGCACGGTGGTGGTGGTTAAAAGTTGTTGACTAATGTATGTTGGGGGCCATGGTGGGTGAGAGATGTGGCACTGTACTATAAGCATAGTCAAACAATAAAGGCCTCCATGTCTGTTCTCTGTCTTACAATTCGTCTGTTTGTGTCTGTATATCAATGCTGCTTTTGTTGATGGAAAGATCCATTATTAGCCAGCTGTTCTGGAGTTATCAGTCATACCACAATCTTCTCCAAACTCAGTATTAATATTAAGTACTACTGAATTTATGGCATTAAAATATTTTACTTGGAATTCAGGAGTAAAATTAAAAAAAACACAAATTCAAAGAAAAAGACAACATACCCAAAGATCTATATTCAAGTATATCCAATACTGGGAGCCTTCTGGTAGCCAAATGGTTACAGTAGTTCTCACATCCACACTTCTCTTCTGGCTTTGTTGTGTCCTGTGCCCTTTCTCCTTTTATTTATATTGTTTCCTGTGTGCATTTTTGCAACATACCTTGAATAAAGACAAAAATGCCCCCAAAATATATATTTTTAAAAATTTGCTCAAGTTGGGGTGATTAAATTCAATGACCAAAATCTATGGTTGCAAAATTTCAAACCTGTATGTCTGGGTTTTGCCACATTCACGTTATATTTGAATAATCATAATTAAGAGTTACAGACCTGTATCATTCATGGCAACTTCCAAGTTGTAATTAAGAATGGAAATAGCTGAAAACCAACAAATATGGATGCCTAACAGGAGCCAAAGATTGTCATTCATAATATCTTTTCTTGTAATCATGAGATACTAAGTAATAATTATGGGCTGCCCAGGAAGCATGTAACCTTTTGAAAAACATTTCCAAAAGGTTCCCATTTGGTTACATTTTTTGGACCTTTCATACATGTTGTAGGAACATTCTTTGAAGGTAAGATGGTTCTAAGAATGTTTCTTCAAGGTTAATTTAGTGACACCTTTAAAGAACTTATAGGGTATCTACTTATCTATCAAGAATAAAATTTCAATCTCAAGTGATGGATTTAATCCATGGATGCATGACTGAAGTAGTTCTACATTTTAGAGCTGTACAAGGACGTCCTCTAGTGACTCTTTTGCATTCAGCACATACAGCAACACGCACCAAATGTAGATGAGTCATCTGCAGGCAACATCATTTCTTCCAAATATAGTTTATAGCAAATACACATTACAATAAACACACGGTTTGAGCATTTCTGACTTTTGTTACAGACCTACCAGATTATATTTCTTTTTATTTAAGTCACTTTTGCACTTTAATCATCTCAATCATTCATATTCCCTCCTCCCCCACACAGAAAAGATAACCTTTTACCCAGTGAGCTCCTTACAGGACCTGGGCGGAGCAGTTCAGAGCAGGGCCGTGTGATTCGTGCAGACTCTGGGATATGGTGAACTGGTTTACTGGGCTGAATCTGTATTGGCTCTGACCTGAAAGCAGTGGGAGGAGACTTTGACAATGAACATGCTGAGGGACACATGTTTACAATGATGGGGCAGAGGGGAAAACGAGAGCTGTGCAGGACCACTGACCACTGAGACTTTATGAATGAAGTAAACTATGTGAAGGTATAATTTCTAACCTTTCAAAAGGAGAGTTCTATTTGAGTGTGTTTGTCTCTGGTACTGCACCTGTACTGTGTAGTTGTTTTGGTTGAATGCGTATGACTGGAATGATTTATGACTTGTTTTTGTCAATGATCTTGTGACTAAGATTCTCTGCTTTGTAGAATGTTTCTTTAATGTTTGGTCTGCTATGAAATAATGGTGTTTCCTGTCTGTTTTTACATTTTTAAATCCGTTGTGCTGAAAGTTGATACCTGAACTGCCAGAAATATTTTCTGACCGATTTCTAAAACAATGCTGCCAAGTGTGCTAAACATGAAAGTTTCCAGGAAAGTCAACAAGACTTTCAGGATACACTAACTCTCTGTCTTGCTATGTAGAGTAGAGCATTTGCAAACATACCCAAACCTTTCCAATTCAAAAATATGTGCTTAAGTACAAATATGTTTTCTTCCAGGTGGAGCCTGTTTTTAACATACTGGGCAGTCATGGAAGCTGACAAAAGTCACTGCAGCAGGACAGCGGAGTAGTGCAGTGACCTATGGTGTCATGTGAGATGTGTAAACAATAAATATTACATGAGTTATCAGAAAAGTAGATAGCATTTATATTTACCTTTCCTGTTCTGTAACACGTACAATACGCTCTCCCTGTTCCCTGTGGACTTAAGCAAGGGGCCCAAGGACTAACAGGACAAACGGTGAAGAGCATTTCTCAGGGATGACCAGTGCTCAGCTGGTGGAAATGTCACCTAGTGCCCAGCCTTCCCACACAATGACAGCCCCTGTGTCCCCTGTCCCCTGTGGTGTATTTGGCCCCTCGCTGTCCCCTCCAGCTGTCTGGCCTCCTCTGGATTTCGCCCTGGGTGCTCTTGCCTGCTGTGCAGCCTGTGTTTTCACCAATCCTCTGGAGGTTGTAAAGACACGTCTGCAGCTCCAGGGAGAGTTGCGTGCTCGGGGATCCTACCAGATACACTACCGTGGAGTCTTGCAGGCCCTCCTGGTAGTGGGCCGCACAGATGGGCTCCGGGGCCTGCAGAAAGGGCTCTCAGTCGGGCTGATCTACCAAGGCGTGATGAATGGTGTGAGACTAGGCTCCTACTCCTATTGTGAAACTCTGGGAATCACCTCTTTTCACGGGGGGAGTCTGATGGCAGGTGCAGGGGCTGGGGCGCTAGGTGCCTTCATTGCCTCTCCTGCCTACTTGGTAAGTTTGCTAAAAGTTTCTCCATTTTACTGCCTCACAGTTCGCAGAGTTTTTACCTTGTAATCCCTTAAGCAAGGCTTACTTGTGACCTCGTAGGATTCATGTCTGTGCAGTTTTTGGCAGAAAAAGGTAAACTAGTACAGAATTTGACAAGAAGAGAGTAACAATTATAGAACCACTCTGAAAAATAAACAATTTTATGTAGCATAGTTTAGGTTTTCCTTATTCCCTATACTGTTAATGGTTTTGGAACCCCATCGATTATTCCCATCACTGCTCAAGGAGGTTTTGACACCCAGGCTGGGAACCATTGCTCTATAGGTCTTGATTAGATCGGTAGGTGTTTTAAGCCATTTGTAGGTACATTTATATTTTTGACATTTACATTAAAAATACGTATGTCCAACAAATTACAATCAAAACTGTGAGGCTTTTGTTGATGTTGCATTCAGTCTGTACGTCTCCTGTACAGCAATCTCCTAAGCCCCCTATGCCTTGTGAAATGAATGTCCCTTATACAGTGTGTGGTGCAACCTGGTGGCCACGATGCTATGTGTCAGCTGTACAGTATCTGTCTGTGTGTGCACGGTCAAACACAAAACCTATTAGGATATTGAAACCCTTGTGCCTCTGAGAGTGGATCATCCGATTGGGTTGCACTCAGCACACTCGGCTTCAACAAAGATGTTAATTAACAGCCAAACAACTGGCATGAAGTAAAGGATAACTACAGGGCTGGTGCAGAAAGATGATATGGGTAATTGTCTGCTGGGAATATATTATGCAGAATGTTTCAGCATAGTATACCTTATATCCCAGAGGACAAACCCTTAATGGAACCAGTTAGGATACATTCTTTGATGTTGTAAGCTAGCAACAAAATACACATCAGCTTTGTAAACAGATTAGTGACAGGCTGAACAACGTAAAGCCAGATATGTTCATGGTACAGCAGAACACTGCAAATTTAAAGGATAGGTTCATTGTTTTCAGGTTTGTCATAAAACAATACTCACATGTTCATATGCACATTGAATTGAATTTGGTGAAAGTTTTCTTTCTGTTATTGTTGTTGTTCCTTTCCCCAATCAACACTTTGCCTAAATAGGCCATTTCCTAACACAATTCCAATGCAAGTGAATGGGGGACATAATTTACAGACCTTCGACTTCTCATAAAGTGAACAAAATAGGCAAGCTCAGTTTCAAATGTGACTATGCAAGTCATCAGCATTTGGCCTGTATTCTAAGTGAACACAAACAAGAAACATGAAAGCACCTCAGCTCAGTTTTTAAAGGCACTTCCAGTGTCCTAAATATATTTTTACCCAGTAACAGAGCTTGTGAGGCAAATTTACATTACATGGGTGTGTTTTTTGTTGGCTCAGGTTAGTCAGAGACTTACTGTAGTTTAACACTTTTGAAAGCTGGGTTAATCCATGTCTTGATTAAATGTGCGTTTATAAAACCAGGTGAGACTCATGTCTAATTTTATAAGGTTTTCACATTCACACAAACCTCTAGTGACACCTTCCCTTGATTTACTGCATATTTTTAGTTATGTCCTCTGCATGTCCCTTTTTATATGACAGGACTAGTGTTGTTGTTGTTTTTCTGCCTCAGCTGCCATTTAAACCACAGGATCTTTTGCACCATCATGAAAAACAATACTGTGTGATGACTTGTTTGTCTGTAACTAGGGCACTAAATATACCCTGCTGTTGCTTTAACCTATCCATTGCTGCCAAATAATATAGTACAGTATCTTCTTGCTGTGTGAACATTGGCGGTGAATGAAGAAATGAGTGGTGAAGGTTGCATCAGAGTGTGACTGTTAAGGCTTGGCACAAATGAATCACTGAGGTATTTTGTTAGACACGTTCCTGGTAAAGTACGTATTCACTAATTCATACCTGGTGAACAGTAGTAGAGCTGCCTATAATCGACATGTGACTCAGGCATTTGATTTAGTCTGGTTTTGTACTTTGATTCATTTTTGTCAGGTGTATAAGACTGAATGTACATTAAAATGTGTGTACTGCATTTTATTCATAGGTGAAGACCCATCTGCAGGCTCAAACTGTGAAAGCCATAGCAGTAGGTCATCAGCATAACCATCTGGTAAGATGAACATGTTCAAAAACTGACACTTGAATGTGTTAAACCTTGTTTTATCTGGAATTATTTCATCATACAGTACTGTGCAAAGGTCCCAGGCCACCATTAAATTTGTTTTAGCAATATTATGATGACTATGTATATATTTATCAGAACACGACCAGGAAATATGTACACAGTATTTAAAAACAAAAATGTTACAAACAATTAGCAAACAAACTGGATACTCCTGATGTGGTATTCAAGCTGTTCTAAAGAAACATGAAGAATCTGGAGAGGTCAAGGACAAAAACAGGAGTGGAAGACTAAGTAACTGTCAAAGTCTGATGAGAGGTTTCTCAGTTACTTCTTTGAGAGACCAGAGAAACTCCAGCAAGGACCTGGCTCAGCATCTGACAGCTTCATCTGGAAGCCATGTTGATCCTTCCACAGTCAGAAGAAGCTTAATCAGAAACGGCCTTTGTGAGTATAGAGGCCTTCAGTGAAACATGGTGGAGGGTCTGTCATGGTTTCAAGATTCCCCCTAAAGTCTCCCTCTGAAAATTCAAGCTGTGTTAAGTGCAAAGGGAGGTGACTTTGGACTGTAGAAGCCATTTTATGTTTTGTAATATTGTGTACATGTTTCCTGTATTTTTTGTTGATATCTTAAATCATCACTACAACTTTTTAAAAACAGCAACAACTACTGGTGGCCTAAGACCTTTGCGCAGTATTGTATGTATTGAAATACTTTGCTTAAGTAAAAGTGGACACACCATCATGTAATCATACCAGTGGTGGGCCGTCAGGGCCAGCAAGGCCTTCTCTGCTGGCCTAAACACTATTAGAAGCACTGACCTACATTTACAACCGAAATTCTAATATTTGTTCCATGAAATTGTATTAATTTATTCCCCAACAGTCTGTTCTCCTCATTTTGTAGTATTTCTCTTGGCTGCAGTTTTGTAATATTGTGTACATGTTTCCTGTATTTTTTGTTGATATCTTAAATCATCACTACAACTTTTTAAAAACAGCAACAACTACTGGTGGCCTAAGACCTTTGCGCAGTATTGTATGTATTGAAATACTTTGCTTAAGTAAAAGTGGACACACCATCATGTAATCATACCAGTGGTGGGCCGTCAGGGCCAGCAAGGCCTTCTCTGCTGGCCTAAACACTATTAGAAGCACTGACCTACATTTACAACCGAAATTCTAATATTTGTTCCATGAAATTGTATTAATTTATTCCCAATCACTATCTATCTAACTAAGAAATTACCTAACATAGTGTAGAGGTTTTGGAGTTGTCTTAACTTGGTTTCTTGCTTTAGTAAAAACAGTATTCACCCTCAATATGCGAAATACCTCTCTCCCTGTAATGCCACACTTTATTATATTGCATTTTTGTATAGCATTGATAGTTTCTATAATTGCGACGTACAGTGGTGGTATTAAAAGGTGAATTAAGTCGGGTAAGTCTCCACTGAAGGCCCAGGTACGAAATGCACGGCCCGCCACTGAATCATACTCTATTGCAAGTCCATGCACTCATTAGACAGACTGTTACAACTGATACATGATAGTACAAGTAGCTTGTTGTTGCTGGTCTAGGTAGAACGGATCCTGACTACTTATCGTATAGTAGGTTAATCAATAATAATCCATCATATTTTATAAAGTGTTTAGAAAACGTCTGAATACACAGTCACACACAGGTGTTTTTAGTTATTATGAAATTTTTATTTATTGTTTTAACAAGACATTCTTAGAAGCACATCCTCTTTGGGGTTTAAAAACATTCGATATCATCAGTGATAGTACAGAGGAGTAGTTGACTAACAGCTCCCTGACCCTTCTAACAGTTTTGTTGTACTTGTTAGTGCGGGATGACCTACCCTATTGTCATATAAATCAATTTGTTCACATTGTATAATTCGAAGCGTGCTCCCAGCTCCAATGTACACAGAGGTTTAATCAGCCGTGGTAATTAAAAACAGCTGTACAGGTGGTCAGTGTCTTTGCAAAATAACTGTAGCAATTATGTAAATATATTTCAGTTAAATGTGCATAGGTTCCCTTGAAATGTAGTGAAGTGTAAGTATGAAGTTGGGTAACATGGAAATACTTTAGTTTTGAGGTATTTCTACTTAAGTACAGGACTAATTGTATTCACTCCTCCACTGGGCTCCGTCACATTTATACACTCAGACGTTTGTAGAGGTGGATGAAGACACAGGAAATACAACACTGATTACTTATAAGCAGTTTGTAATGGTACGGTATGTGGTAGTGGGACTAGGCAGGACCCAAAGAAGATGTCTGGAGACTGAAGAGTAGCTTTAAATGATTCTTTATTTCATGCATGGAGAGAAATCATACACAACTTTGCAGAATGCACAGAGTTCTCTGAGTTCTCTGAGTCACTGGCAAAAGGGGCAGTCCCTTTATACCCAAGTAGTACAATACACATCCATTGAAACTCATACTGTTATCTTACATTATAACGACTTCCCCAGCTGCCTTGCTACAGCAAAAGGACAGCAAGACCTTGATACTGAGTGGGGCCGCCAGGTGCCTGGGTGCCGCACTCCCTTTTCCTTCTCACACAAGACACATTTATGAGTGCTGGAAGTAACTTCTGCAA